ATAAATTTGAAATAATAGGAATGTTCGTGCACTACTCTTGGATATGTAAATTGGCACAACTTTGGAAAAAAAGTTCTGGCACTATATAATAAAATTACATATAGACATAGCTAGCAATTCTACTAAAAAATTATACTATAAAGAAATCGTTAAGTGCACTACAAGTTTGTATAGCAACATTTTCAGGTGAACAGTACATAACAATAAAAGCAAAAAATACCTCAAAATTTCATCCACTGTAGAATGTATAAATAAGCTGTTATATATTCATACAATAAAATATTATACAACTAAAATAAAGCAACAGCAATTATGCGTGTTGACATAGACAAATCTCAAAACCTAATTATTCACTGAAAAAAGTAAAGAAGACTTCTAAATACATGCCTTTTATTTTTTTAATATATTTTTATTGACTTCAGAGGGGAAGGGAGAGGGATAAGAGGGAGAGAGTGATAGAAACATCAATGATGAGAGAGAATCATTGAGCAGCTGCCTCCTGCATACCCCTTACAGGGGATCCCCTGGCATGTGCGAGGACCGGGAATTGAACCATGGCCTTCTGGTCAATGCTCAACCACTGAGCAATGCTGGCAGGACTAAATACATAACTTTTAAACACAATTCTAGAACCATCTCAACTAGAGGGTTTTGAAGAATATGTATGGATTATAAGGAAAATCAAGGGAATTATTAGACCAAAATTTAGTCTACAGATTACCTCTGGGTCTGAGCCATGAGAGGAAGGGAGCATTGGAGACTTCTAAGGTACTGGTTGCATTCTGCTCCTTAATTTGGTACTATCAATAGAGATGTTCAATTTATTTTTCTTTAAACTGAATATTTATAAATTTATAAACTCTTTTGTATGTGTGAAGTGATTCTCAATAAAAGGTTTAAATACAATTTTTCTAACTTGCTTTAGGATGTAAAACATTTTCAGAAATTGAATTATAAAAAATATAAATGTTAAGAAAATCCTATTAGGAATAGAAAGTCTATATTTTAGTGTGAAGTTTAAAGTTATATTTAAAATAAACAGTCCAATTTTTCTATATTAGTTTGATAGATATTATTTATCCTTAAACTACTTTCAGAATAGTTTAGAATGGAAAAGGTGGATTGGATACCATGTCATACCATTATTTTGTCACAAGAGGGACTACATAGTCAGAAAGTACAGTTTTCTCATTTGGTCTTAAGAATATTTCTCTATCTTAACGTTTATGTTCTACACACTGTGTATTCTTGTCAGTGTATATGTTATAGAGTGTAGTACTGCTATATATGCTATATATATTTCATATCAGCAAAAATTTTAAGATAAAATACTAGTTTACCATTTTAATTCTGAATGGATAGGAGACTGTAGATAAATTATTTAACTTACTGAACTATAATCATTTTATTTTTTGTGTATCTGCTTTATGGCAATAATTGCTTTCATTTTTCTATTAGTGCTAAATACTTTAAATACTGAATGGATTTTTCACATCTGTTTTATTTGTCTTTCTTATTTGACTTTAAGATACCTATAGGCATTTGCAACCAATCCAAATTTGATAAAATGAATCCAAGTAATTATAGATCTATTGATAAAACAAAAGCATTCATGACCTGGGTCTCTGTCCACTTGACCAGTGGTTTTCAAACTCTGCCCTCAGGATCATTCAGTGTGCCTGGAAGTTTTTTCAGGGGCCACATATTTGGGGAAGGTGGGTACTACTTCACTGAGATAATTCTTCAATTTACTTTTTAGTTATTGCTGTTTTTTTATAAAGCTTTTATTCATAGAAATAGTAAGCTACCAATAGTTCACAAACCACTAGACTAGATTGACAGGAAAGAATAGTAAAATCAGTTGAAATATTTTCAGATGTGTTACTTCTTTAGCTTCTCTCAAGTAAAATGTGAGCTCTCATAACTACTATATGTCTTCTTCACCACAGTATCTGCAGTGCAGAGGACAAATTACATGTGGTTATGCATAAAACAATTAAAATAACAAACAAGCATGCTAAATGAATAAACAGCTCCAGAAGACAGGTAGAGCAAGTATTATTTGAATTTAGGAAAGAGAAGCTCAGAATGATAAAAGACTTACAAACACTTACTCTGTCAGTAAGTAGAAGAGTCAGATAGAATCCACATCTACCATCTCCTGGCTCCTAATACTTTTTGGATCAAATCTGGGAAAAGAAGGAAAGGGAAGAATGGAACAAAGACAGAAGGAAGGGAAAAGAGAGTTTAATTTGCTTTCCACCATACCACAATTACCTCTCATTTATTTGAGCAGAAAAAGATCAACTGTAGTAAAGAAAGAAAAATGCTATTTTCATATATTATACCTTCATGTTTGAAAAAAACCAACAGCAACACACTGGTAGTACGGATGAATACATGCTATGTTTGAATTTACAATGGTGCATGAGACCATGATATTTCTCTTAAAGTAAAAAGATTTTCAGGGCACCACTCATGTTACAGGAGCCTTGGGAGGTCAGCACACATGTGAAGCACTACCCTTTTTTCCAGGTGTCATTGCCTTCCTCTCTTGCCCATCCCTTAACCATCTGGAAGGGGCTGGTTTCCCACTTCCTCTTTCTGCTTGTCTGGGACTTCCCCTGAGCACTCGATTCCAGCCTGAGGTGGCTTCCATCTTACCCTCTCCTGGAGTTATAATGTGGAAGTCAGTACAGAAATTTAAGGGTTAAAAGAATCAAATCACATCAGTTTATTTTTATTTATTTTATTTTTTTACATATTAATCACATTGCACTTAGCCATCAACCCTAAATAATACAGACATATGTATTCATTTTTTATTGCTATGGCAATAAATTACCACAAAACTCTGGATTTAAAACAGCAGAAATTTATTATCTCACAATTGTGTAGGTCAGAAATCCAGTGTATCCACACCAGTCACTGTATATGATTCGAGAAAACTTTTTTTTCAGTCTTCTTTTCAACTAGGTGCAGCCACATGATTGATTGCCTGCCAATGAGTGGCCCCTAAAATTCCTCCTGCCTGCAGCTCTGTGCTCTCCCTTTTGCCTGTTCTGCCAGCAGGGTACAGAAGTCCAGAGGTCCTGTGCTCTTCTTGGAGGCTCAGGGGTGTTTAATTCCATGCTCACTCAGTCATTGGCAGAATTCAAGTTCTTTTGGTTATAGGACTAAAGTCCCTGTTTTCTTTTAAGAACTTTTAGAGGCCACAGTAATCCTTGATTCCTGATTCTTTCCTCCTTCTTCCAGGGCAGCAATGGTGAATTAAGTCCTCAGATTGCACTCTCTGACCCACCCAGCTTCAGTCATTTTCCACCTTTAAGGACTCCTGTGACTAGATTGAGCCCACCTAGATCATCCAAGATAATCTTTTTATCTCAAGACCTTTATTAATTCTATCTGCAATGTTCCTTTAGCTATGTAAAGAGATATTTAAAGATTCTGTGAATTACAACATGGATATCCCTTGAGGAAGGGCATTATTTTGACTACCACAAGGAAAGTAAATGATTAAGAGTCTGCAAATTTACTTATGTGAATAAAAATAATAAAAAAATTCAGGGTGGGGCAAACATAGGTTTACAGTTGTTTGTATGGAAAATAATACAATCCTATATAATAAAAACCTAGGTGGCGTTGCGTGACATCGTCACAAGTTGGCCGACAGGGGAGGGCAATTGGGGACAACCAGGACTGCAGGGGATGGCAGTTGGGGGCGAGGAGACTAGGCCTGTAAGGGAGGGCAGTTGGGGGCAACCAAGCCAGCAGGGGAGGGCAGTTGGGGGCCATCGGGCCAGCAGGGGAGGGCAGTTGGGGGCCATCGGGCCAGCAGGGGAGGGCAGTTGGGGGCCATCGGGCCAGCAGGGGAGGGCAGTTGGGGGCCATCGGGCCAGCAGGGGAGGGCAGTTGGGGGCGATCAGGCCAGCAGGGGAGCAGTTAGGGGGCAATCAGGATGGCAGGCAGAAGCAGTTAGGGGCAATCAGGCAGGCAGGGAGGTGAGCGGTTAGGATTCAGCAGTCTTGGATTATGAGAGGGATATCCGACTGCCAGTTTAGGCCCAATTCCTGTGGGATTCAGACCTAAATTGGAAGTCGGACATCCCCCAAGGGGTTCCAGATTGGAGAGGGTGCAGGCCGGACTGAGGGACACCCCCCTCCCATCCACAAATTTTGTGCACCAGGCCTCTAGTAAAAATAAATAATAATACAAGAATAAACTCTGTTTCAAGTCATTATTTATAATTACATCAGAAGACCTAAAGCACACTGATATGCACAGCTTCTTGTAACTCTTGACTATTAATTTTATGCTCAGTTACAGATCATGTTTTCCATTAAATTATCAAGTTGAAAATACATAGTTAATTTAATGTCAAGAAATCCAGAAGTGCAATAAATAGGCACCACTTAAGAGGGTATGTCTTTTGGAACTCTGAAGAATGGAGGCAGAGGTATGGATAGGTTAAGGATAAGCACTATTCTCCACCCCCTACCCCCTACCCCCGCCCCAGATTTATCATCCACTGATCAAACTAGTCTCTAAAAGACCATCATGTAAGTTCTTACTTACAATGTTATCTGCATTAACTAGCAAAACTAAAGGCCAACCTAAAAAGGAAGATGCATGTGAATCAGCTGAAAAGGCTGAATTAAGTAAAAAAAAAAAAATAATAATAATAAATGAATGAATAACAAACAAATTGGTTTGCTGATAAGACCTAGCTTTTCATCTGGGCTGTTTGATTTGGGGTAACTTACTTAATTTCGCTAAGCCTCAGTTTCTTCAGATGTAAAAAGGAGGTAATAACATCTACTTCCACAGATGTCGAAAGGATAAGAGATTGTGTCTGGCACAGAATGGGTGCTGATGACTGATAACTATCAGTTATCCCAACTCTCAAAGAAAGCCCCAGGATCTGCAGGAAATAAAAGAACAAAAGTAACAATTGACAACTTGAACTTCAGCTTAAAAATGTTCTCCTTTTTTTGTTTCAGGAAAGTAGCAGATCATCCAAAAAGGCGATTCGGTATCCCCATGGATCGGATTGGTGGAAATCGGCTTTCAAATTCCAGAGGCTAATTGATTCCAATTGTGAGTACAATTTAAATATGTAACAATACATGCAAACTTTTGATTTATATTTCACAATAGGCTAATTGATCCATCTAGTTTATAAATCCCTCTTTTGATTTCCTAGTTTGTAAATTCATTTTCAAACATTTCTCTACTCAATTAGTATATTGTGCTAAATAATTAAAGTGACATTAAAGAATCCAACGAATATCCTACTTCACCCTAAAAATGATTTAGGTATTATCACAGACTCCTATATACTTATTGAATATTAATATACAAGCAAAGGTTAAAATTCTAATTAGAATAATAAATTACCTTCAAAAATAGAGTAGACATAATAGGTAGCAATCCCTCTATTATGAAAAAGACACTTTCCAGTGACATACACCATTTTATTTAAATAACAATACCAGAATTATGATCACATGAAACACAGGAGAGAGAATGGTATAGCAGAAAGAGTATTAGCCATGGAATCAGAACATGTAATCCAAATTCTGCTTCTATTACTCATTATCTTGTTTCCATCAAGATAATTTATTTCTCTACTAGAGGCCTGGTGCATGAAAATCATGCACAGATAGGGTCCCTAGGCTTGGCTGGCGATCAGGCCCAATCGGGGCATTCTGGCCATGGGCGGGGACCTTCCTTCATTCCGTGCCACCCCCTGGTGGTCAGCGCATGTCATAGTGAGCAATCAGTCTCCCGGTCAAACTCCTGCGGGGACAATTTGCATATTAGGCTTTTATATAGATAGATAGCTTGTATATTTAGATAATAACACAGTGGTATTGTGAAGATTAAATTAGATGCTAGAAGATATTGGACCAACAATACATGTACGTGATAATACCTTTCAATACAGTTCTGAACATTTACTCTGTGCCAAGCCCTGCACTTAGTGTAAAATATGCATTGATTCATTTAATCATCCTGTTCCATAAAGTAGATACTATTACCACCTCCACTATCTTGAGAAGTAGGACAGTAAAAGGGGTAAAAGTGCCAGCTGGGGAAGTCAGGTTTTGTGGGTCAAATCCTAGGTCACCTAAATCCCAGTTCATCAGTTACCTGTGAGACCTTGTTTAAATTCTGAATTCCTCTTCCACAAAATGAGAATTATAATAATTTCTACTACATTGCATTGTCCTGAGGAGTAAATGGATTTATATACATGAAGCACTTAGAGTAGTGCCTGGCACATATTAAGTACTCAATAATCATTAGTTATTATTATTATAATACAAATAAGTGGAAAGACAAATAGCTAGTAAGTGATGCAAGTATAATTCAAATCCAGAAAACTTAAATCCTGAGATTTCTCTTAAACAATTTATTTAATCATACATAGTATATGTTTTTAAGACTAAATGTTAAATGTAAAATCTCAGCTATGTATTTTCTCCCGTTAGAGCTTAGAGAGGGTACATCTCCAATCCCAAACAGATAAGACAACCTAGAACTGCTCTGACAACTTAAGACACAGAAGAGAAAACAGCTTTTTGCTTTTCTCAAGATAATCCTCAGATTTATGACGTGGAGGCCCAAGAAGCAGCAAATGAGTGCTGACCCTGTCCTAACTTAAATCCTGCAGGTTTTTTTCCTCTTCATCAAATGCTCTAAACCACAATCAGTCAGTATTTTACCTCAACTTTCTTATCTTCAGAATGACTTAATTAAAATATTTTTTTTCTCTGTAGGGTTATTGATCAATAAAATTATAAGGTTGCTGTGTGTTTTTATAAATACAGGATGACTTGCTGAATGCTGCCAAGAACACTGCTTTTGGAAAACACCATCATTACATATCACATTGAACTTTGTATCTAGCAATATACCAAATATGATCACTCTTCAGGGTTGTTGAAAATCACCACGTTACATTTGAGTAGGAGCTAATTGCTATTAAAAATCAAGTAACTCCTTGAAATTAGTCACAATCCTCCAGTTTCTTGATGTATTGAGAATGATATTACACTGTGATTAAAATAATTAAGTTTGATTGGTTTTAATATATACTGTTACCTTAGCCAACCTTGATTATCATCCATTTTAGTATTTCTTAATTCAACCAAAACAGGTTATGATAAAAAAATATTATAAGACTCTCATTTTTAATATAAATTTTCAAATGAAGTTTTAGACCATACGAACTCCAGATAGCTACTAAACTATGAAAAGGGACTTGAATTAATATGATGTTTACAGAATCACTGTGGGATAAACTTCAAATTAGTATATTACCTCCTTCACTTAACAGACTTTGTTGAATGTTATGACAACCACAGTCTTTATTATTAAAGTCTTGAGATAGTAATATCATAAAAAATTAAGTTTAGGAAAGAATTGAACATCACACATACTTCCTTTCCCTTTTATCAACCATGTGGGTTCACCTGTTCAACCATTATATTTCTACTAGAGGCCCGGTGCATGAATTCGTGCACAGATGGGGTCCCTCGGCCTGGCCAGCCACAGGAGGGACCGCAGGAGGTTAACTGGCTAGGGGGAGGGACCGAGGGAAGTTGGCTGTCTGTGGGAGGTTGGCTGTGGGAGCGCACTGACCACCAGGGGGCAACTCCTGCAGAGCATCTGCCCCTGGTGGTCAGTGCATGTGATAGCTACCGGCCGGTCATCTGATCAATCGGTTGGCCGGTTGTAATGGTCGCTTAGGCTTTTATATATATAGTAGCTTTATTTCCTACCACTATCACCAAGATTTCTCAGATATTTTTTGACTTCTTAATGTGAAGTTTCATGTTTTATAGTGCATGAAAATGAAAGACATAAAATATATATTTCTAATTTCCATTCAACTTTCAAAATTATTTTTTGGTACATTATTTTCTTTTGTCACAGTGTTCTTTTGGATTATATAGAAAATGTAATGCATGTATCTTTTAATAGATAACTTGAGTCATTATAATAATATGTAATGACTTAGTCATGAATTTAAGTTAATAGAGATTCAAGAACATAGTCTTGTTTAATCCTTTATTTATTTATTTATTTATTAACAAATAAGAACACAGAGACTATGAGAGGAAATTTTGATTTGCCCCAAATTTTACAGGCCCTCAAATAGAGCAAGATCCAGAACCAGGTCATTGGTCTTCTAGGCCAATATTCTCTTTATGATCTATATAGTCTTGTGGATGCTAAATTATCATTGCTATGCTAACATCACTGATTATACAATTCTAAAACAAACACGGTATCTCAGACTTTGTAAAAATCTTGGCTTCACTCTTGTGGGAGAAGATGTATACCCTTTTAGAGCAGGTTTATTTCTGGGTTTTTACTTCTGCATTTCACTATAAGTCTTCACACTAAAAGTGAAACTAGTGCTAATCATGAAAGTTTTGTTTGGTTTAAGGTCAACTCTAGAAATATCTCATGTGTTATCTAGTTTTCAGGAAAAAATGGCTAATCTCTTCCGTGATATGTGTTTGGGAAAAAAATAACCTAATATTTACTCAGTATTCTCCTCAAAACATTAATCTATTGGCCCAAAGGTTTGAAATTTTAATCGATCCCAGCTCTAAGCAGCTCAAATTCAGAGAAGTATTTTGTCTAGGTTTCATAAATTCTGTAGATGCAAGTAGCAAGTTCTAAGTCTCTGCCATGGGAATCAGGACTCCTACTCGATGAAATCTGGTGGAAATATGACCATTAGTTGTGCTCCCCTGTGCCATCACATGCTTTAAGACTTGAAATAATGTGAGGCAAATGTTGCTGTATTATACTGGAAATTTTCATTTTAGAACAATATTAACATGCTATCATTCAAGTTAACATCTCAACTAACAGAAATATCATGTTTAAATGCCATTATATGGTTGGTTCTTTAAATAGAGCAAAATGTACAACAAATATCAATGTGTTATCATAACAATAAACAGAAGATAGTAGTCAGATTTTTCTTATATTTCTTTTGTTTATCACAGCAATATCCTTTGAACCAAGATTGAAATCTCAAAAGAAATAGATTATAGCAGGTACCCAAACAAAGGAAGTATGGCTTGAGCGCAACTACCTCATTTATACATTAAAAATGCTCTTTGTAATGCATTTAATCAGAAATTACCATTTTTCATGTTGTTTTTGCAATGAAGATATACCACATAAATAAAAGCCATAATGAAACACCAAGTAATTAGAGTTTTGGCTTTTCTCAACTGCAGTTGGTGGATTTCCCCTTATCTTCAGAGTCCTCCTTAGCTTTAACCATTTCAACTTTCATTTTTGCAGATGTGACTTCCTTGGGTGAAATGTCACAGAAACACGGAAGATGCTTCAGATGTTCTTCACACTCCTTAATGATTAAACTTTGAAGGAACTGACCTTCTGCAAATTCTTTCCAAAGCTTGAACTTAGGTCCATCACATCCCAGTGTTGTTACAGCCTTAAGTAAATTATGCAGATCATTTCAATGCATGGATATTTTTTAATTTACATTTTAGTTGTTCAGGAATAGTTACTTGGCCCCAAACTTTATTTTTCTAAGAAATAGTCAAACAACACGACGTAGTGAAATGCTTTCTATATGCACTTATCTTTTACATTTATGCAGTTGAAGAATAACTGGAGACTAATTTGTTTCTGTAAAATTTAGGTGCAATCTGTCAATATTGGGGAACAAAAAAAAGACAATGCTGTGCGTTTTCTCTTTCATGCTTTTACTTTTTCTAATCCTTTGTCTATGAACTTCTTAGGTAATAATTATGAAATTAGCCTTCTCATATTATATTCAAATTTCAGTCATTTTCAATCAAATAATACTCAGCCCTAGTTCTAGAAATAAGTAAAAGAAATTCTCTGAGCAAAGAAAAAATAGCAATAATTAAGCCCATAAATTTTAGTCTCCCAGAGAACTGAGAAAATGCCTGCAGGTCAGAGCATATTGACTTGTAGTTAGGAAGTGAAGGATATTCCTCTGTCAAGCTTGGATATCCTGTGTCCCCTAATAGCTTTCCTTTCTCTCAATTACAACTGATAATTAAGAGCAGCAGTGGCTGATTATGAGAACTACTCACAGAAGTAACAGATGAAAGTGTGGGCAAGTCAAAGAATATCAAGTAGTAGACCATTAGTATAGTCTGCGGCCGGTTTAAATACACCTAATTTTAGCACAGTAAATTTTAACATTAGTACAATAATCCATCTTTTTGATGTTACTGACTCACCTAAGAAACTGTTTAATTTGTTTCATGTACTGTGTTTAATAAGGCATTAAAGAGTATAAGTATTGGAAAGTGATTTCTTTAAAATGATCCAAATTATTTTTAATTGACCTATCAAAGCATAAAGTTTGATAGTCTGGAAAGTTTGATTCTCAGCAATAACTGTGATGTTACTGTAATTTAAGGTTTGTGCATTGGATATGCTTTCAAAGCACAAATATAACTTATTTGTGGTCCAGAGATTTAGCATATTAGAAGTTTATGAATTCTCTGAAAACACTTCCTTAAACCCCGGTAATCAGTGCCAAACAGACCTGATTTAAAAAAAAATAAAATTGGCCAGAACAGCAAAGTTTTACTGTAGCATAAAATGAAGAATGCTATGAAAAGGTATATTTATATTGAAAGAAGAAGAGAGAAATGGGTAGTTGTTAATTCTTTAACTAAAAAGGAATAAATGTACAATCTGAAGACTAAAATAAGCTCAGAGAAACATAGAAACGAACATATGTACTTAGAATACGGAATGGTTTTGTATATAACTTCTTAGATTTAGAGAAATTTTTCCAACTGCTAAAAGTCAAATTTAAAGTTTAAGAAAAACAGTGAATGAATTATTCTTTTAATTGTGATAGAGAGGCTGTAGCAAAGAAAGATACATTTTGAGAAAGCTCACCAATTCTGTTTTTCATAAAATTGCATGAGAGAGTTAGCAGTGCTACATGGGCAGATATTCTGCAGGAATCGCTGTTTGAAAGGATTATTTAAGAAGAAGTTATAATTTCTCTTGCCTACTTTTCCCTAACCTTCTGATGAATTGTAAAATGTTTCCTGTTCTTTGGAAGCGTTTTCTTTTCTTTTTTTCCCCATCTGTGTATTTGTGAGCATGTAATCCACCTGGGTGCTACTGCTTCATGCTTTGACAAAAGGTATTCAAACCTAATTTAACCTAAATATTTTTCATGGTGAAGATTTAAGTTGAATTAAATCCATTGATTTTCTATCTCTTTCATTTTTTTAATTCAAAATTATGCTTATGGCATCCAATTTAATTAAAGTAAGAGGTCGCAATATATTGATTTATAGTCTATTCTAATATGTAATGCACTTGTCTCCTAATATAATATATGCACAAGACTCCCATGAAGAAAAAAATGTTTTCTCCACTTGCAACTATATTATTTCATATTTTAATTTTTACCACTACTTTATACAGAGCAGAAAATAAATCAGCAGCATACTAGTTTAAAATAGGACATTCTTTTAACATAGCATAAAATTAAGACAAAATTTCTGTTAGGCATGTGACGAGTCATCTCATTTATTTGTCCAATGTATTGTATATTACTAAATCCAGTTATATTTCACAGAAAAGTCACTAGAAAAGACTTTTCATTTAGTTTCAAAAAATACATTACTTTTTTTCCCTCTTTGTTCCTGTGTGAAGCTTCATAAAGCAAATTGTGAATATAGATTTCTGAGTTCTCGCATCAATTGCATGATCAATTTTTTAATGACAGGATATTGATTCCTGGCTACATTGTCTTAAAATTTATTGACACTATAAAAAGTTTAGCAAATTCGACCTTTAATCTCCAGATAGCTTTAGGGAATTAAATGTCTTAAAACCAATTATTAAATGATAACCTAATGGAATCTTCTAAAAGGAAGACGTGTCAAATGCTTTTTGAATGACATTACCCCAAAGGGTTCAAAATACTTGAATATTGTTCAACTACTCCAAAGTTAATAAACATGAGATGATGAAAACAAGATATTCTTGTCTTTCTTTATGATCATATATTTGTGTTCACAACTGGTGTAAATAAATGGGAACATTTCAGGCATTATTGAGCAAGTAATCCTTATGTAAATTAGAGTGGCTCCTAACAAGTGTATACATGGCACTACAAGCATTTTACTGAACTTCGTCTGTTTTATGCATTTTTTTCTTTTTTTACTTTAATCAACTGTTCATTTTGTCTTTTGTTTTATCTGTAAGCACCAAATAATTAATATTATATAGATAAACTGCATTTCCTCGATATTATGAAGAGAATATGTGTAGGCTATTATAGTCATTAATACTCTTTAATTATAAAGTAACTTTAATTATAAAGTTTCTGTGCCAGCACAAGTGGAAGACAAAATTAAAGTTGAATTCCCAGTCTTGCATTGATGAAATAAAGAGCAGTTTAATGTATAAATGTGGGGGTGAGGGGAAATCAAAGAAAAGCCAATGAGTTTTTGTTGTTTGTTGTTTCTTAGCACACTGAGTCTAGTCTCTTTTAGACATGCTGAGAGTCCCAAGTAGTTTCTGATAATGTGAAGGAGGCAAAGATGAGAATTAAGAAACCGAAAAGTGCATTATTCTGTAAGAAAGTTTTCTTCATATCTATCTCTGAGACATCTAATACTACTTCTTCAGAGTCCAATAAACAATACATTTTCTGCTCCTTAGTAATGTATTCATTTAGTTGTAGTGATAACTGTCCCAATTCACAGGAAAGAGATAATAGCAAAATCATGAAAAGGAGAAAGGACACTAATGCATATTTTTCACATAACTTGAGATAATATAACTTATTTTCATTTCCCAAGATGCTTTTTAAAATATTTTAATTAATAGTTTAATAGTATAGTCATCACCGGACAAAACTATATGTGGACTATGAATTTATGGAAAGCATACAATAGATACAGCACTCTCAATTTTAGCTCTACAAAGCCATTTTGATAATCCCATGCCATTCAAAGTGCAACTAATTTATCATTGTTCACAACATAAATCTTAAGGATATAGTACACAAAATAAATGCCACAGTTCCTTTATGCTTGAAATAACTACAGTCTTTAAGCTACAGAGTGAGGAGATAGTCTTGTTTTAGTGTTAATGTTTTTGCATCCAGAGAAAAAACTTTAGATACAGTATTTCCAAAAGGTAGCTAAAAATAAAACAACAAATTACTTATTAGGAGGATATTTGGTAAAACATTAGATTTTAATAAAATAATTTTATGTGTGCTTGAGTATGAGAAAGTATTATATACGGGATATTCAATCTGGTACTTATTAGCCTCATGTGGATCTTTCAACTAATTAGAATTAAATAAAATTTGGAAATTCAACTTCTCCATCATATGCCACATTTCAAGAGCTCAATAGTGACTAGTAGCTAGTGACTGCCAGAACAGGCAGTGCAAATTAGAGAATGGTCTCATCATCACATATAATTCTATTGGACAGCACTATTATATTATAACTAGGGGCCCAGTGCACAAATTCGTGCACCTTGAAAGGAACTGTGGGCCGCGAGGCTGCAGTGGGCACAGGGGCAGGTCTCGGCCCATCCTCCGCACCCCCTCCTGTTCCCTCCCGCTGCGGCCCCTGGTCCCCTGTCTGTCCGAAGCCCTGCTCCCGCCACTGCCACTCCCATGTGCTGATGGCGTCACTCACACCTGCTGAGGTACAGAGCAATTGGGGCCAGCACCTTCAGCGGGTACTAGCAGTGGCTGCTGCCCTGATCGTTCCTCAGGAGCCGGGGGAGGTGGAGAAGCCTTCAGGAATGATCGGGGCCTGCAGCTGCCACCCGCACCCATTGATGGTACTGAGTAATTGAGACTGGTGCTGGGAACCGGCAGTGGGTGCAAGCAGTGGCTCCAACTGTGGGTGCAAACAGGGCCAGTGCTGGCAGCAGGTGCGAGCACCGTGTGGGACTGTGGCGCAAGGAAGCAAAGAATTTTCAGTAACCACCAGAGGCTCGCCCCATGACAGCGACCAGCGCCCTGCCTTGGTATGGCACCCCTGCTCACCTGCTCCACCATACCGCCACAGCCAACGCCCGCCATGTTCTGCACACGCCCCCTGGTGGTCAGCGCACATCATAGCAACCAGTTGTTTGGCTGTTTGGTTGTTCCACCATTTGGTCTATTTGTATATTAGCCTTTTATTATGTAGGATAATGTAATATGTATTATACTGCACATAATACAGTTCAGAGAATATAGTAGGTTGTCCTATTAGATGCACCCCTCTATTTTATAGTGGGAAGTAACTGAAATCCCAGAACGAAGTCACATAAATAAGCAGTAATATATGTGTTCCTATTTATTAGGGAAAGAAGAAGGAAGACAGTTTAAAGTTCTGTTTGCAAACCACCAAATGATTTTAAGTAATTTTTTTAAATGTTGCATTTTTTTAAAATTGATTTTTGAGAGAGAGAAACATCGATGTCAGAGAGAAATATCAATTGGTTGCCTCAAGCCTCAAGCACATGCCCCAACCAAGGATATAACCTGAAACCTGGGTATGTGCCCTGGCTGGGACTTGGGCCTGCAGTCTTTTGTTGCGCAGGACGTTATTCCAACCTACTGAGCCACACCAGCCAGGGTGATATTTAAGTAATTTTTCACACGGAGTCTTCACATTCTGGTCATAAAACGATGTTTCAGAAAAATCAAACCAATTCTATCAATATTTTAATCTTCAAATATATTAATAAGTCACATTAAATCTTCTGTGGGCTAATTCCAATCAATTGCCTGACATACAGTAGCTTCAATTTAAAAGGTTTGTGAAGTTAAGACCTCAGGGAGTTGGGTCTTTGATTCACTATTAGTTAATGGGATGCACAATGAAAGAATTGAAAAAACAAAAACCTCATAGTACAGTTAAGACACTGAAATAAATGATAAATATCTACCAGTTCCCTCCCAAACTCCCTCTGCAGATGGTCACCCTTGTGTTCATAACCATTATACCCACAGTGTTATGGCAGCACTCAGAGTCAATTTTCATTTCTGCAAGAGGCACTCAACCCATTTTGTTTCTTTAAACAAAACTATGTTGGAATTCTATGAAAGGAGAAGTTTATTTTTCAGCATTAAACTGAAGAGCTTGGCCTCTTTAATACAAACTTCTTTTGATAGTGTGCTTTCCATCCCTCTGGATATCTTTGAATAGTTCCGTCTGGCAGAAAAATGTAGATCTGCTCATCATATCCAAGACTTAAGTGACATAAGCAGTTCAATTAAGTATGCAATGGAATACAGTTTGGGAGAATTTTCAAACCTGGTTGAAGGGAGCTGTCCTTAATGATATCACCATTAGAGCCAGCTCCTCGATGCTTATCTATCATTTACATTTATGTGAAGGAAAGCCTAGTGTCATTCCAGTGTCATATCATGTCTGTCTGGTCATTCATCATACTATTTTTAGCATAATACTAGGTGTTAGGTATATTTTTAATGAATGAAAGAATTTAACAAGTGTTTATCAACTATATATTAAATAATTAAAGCAAATTACAATATCTCACAGTAAGTGTAAGTTACTATTGCCTTAAGCTTGATTTCTGGGTCCATTTAATCCACATACATTGTTACTTATGGTAGTTTCCAGTTGTGCCAGTAGAAGCACACTTCAAATATAATGTGGACTGTTTCAGTGGCCTAATCTGGGCATATAGCTCATGTTTATCACCACAAATACTTATTTTGTTCCTACTACATACATATATGTTTTAATATCTCCTTGCTTAAAGACAAACAAAATGCTTCCTTCCCCCCCTCAAACTCCTCTTTTTTTATATCTTAATATCCCTTTTTTTAGCCTTTAGAACAAAATTCCTCAAAATAGCTGTCTATTATCAGTAGTTCCTATTGTTTTGCCATATCTCTTTAACTAAAAGTTCATCAAATGATTCTTTTCAAAGCCATTAATAACCTTTTCATTGATGTGCAGATGAAAAGTCTCAGATCTCCTCTCACTGGATCTATCATAGCTTCAGATATAGTTGAACGATTTCTTCCTAGAAACAGGCTTTTTTTTTTTTAATTTGATTTCTGGGGCATCTCTCTTTGTCGCCTCCTTTCTTGGTAGCTGTTCCTACTCAGTCTTCTTTGCTGATTCTTATCTGCCCAATCTTTAAACGTGAAGTGAACTGAGACTCAGTTTTAGTTATCTTTCTTTTTATATCTAGAGTCATTCCCCAAGTGGCCTCATCATATTGATATGCTGATAACTGTCAAATTTATATTTCCAAGCTGGGCTGCTTCCCTAAACTCCAAACTTATGTATTTAAAAGTCTATTCAGCCCTAACTGGTTTGGCTCAGTGGATAGAGCGTCAGCCTGCGGACTGAAAGGTCCCAGGTTCGATTCCGGTCAAGGGCATGTACCTTGGCTGTGGTCACATCCCCAGTAGGGGGTGTGGAGGAGGCAGCTGATCAATGTTTCTCTCTCATCGATGTTTCTAACTCTCTATCCCTCTCTCTTTCTCTCTGTAAAAAATCAATAAAATATATTTTAAAAATAAAATAAAATAAAAATCTATTCAATTCACTTTGGGGAAGATTTTATTACACACTAGGAGCCCAGTGCACAAATTCATGCACCTTGAAAGGAACTGTGGGCCACAAGGCTGAGGTGGGCACAGGGGCCAGTCTCAGCCCATTCTCTGCACCACCACCCAGCTTCTCCCTCTGAGGTCCCCAGTCCCTTGTCTGCCAGCAGCCCCACTCCCACTGCTGCTACTCCCATGTGCTGACAGCGCCGGCCCCACTCGCACCCACTGATGGCACAAAGGGATTGGGGCCGGTGCCAGCAGCGGGTGCAAGCAGGGCCAGCTTCTTCAGCAGGTGCAAGTGGCAGCTGCTGCCCCAATCACCCCTCAGGAGCAGGGGGAGGTGGAGAAGCCCTCAGGGGCAATCAGGGCCAGCAGCCACCACTCACATCTGCTGACAGAGACGAGCAATCAGGA